CATGATTTATATTATGCCGAGGTAAACCATTTACTTATGCGTCATGTTTATTGAATAGTTTAAATAATTATTGACTTGTTATTATGTATCATTTCCACTAGTTACGTGATAAGCATCCAGATATTCTTACCACGGATGTTTGGGTTACCATCGGATTCACTTATGATAAATGGAGAAGAAAGTATCATCTCATAAAATGTGAGAATCGGCATGGATTATGTCTGGCGTGTGCAAGGCAATTAAGCCCCAAGATAAATGTATTTTGCTATTTGTGTAAAGCACCAGTACCCCCTGATTGGACTATGGGCAACAAGTCGTTGGATTCATTCATTATGGAATCATGGAGTAATACAAGGAATAAGTATGATGCCTATATACAATGGATAGAGTACTCTCTATTGATTAATATGCGAGAAATGTCCTCATTACGCCATGGATGCACACATATAGCGGATCTAACAATAAATGAATGGACAAAGGTGACACTCAAGCAGATAGTAATAGTAGGTGACACCCAGCCGTTTGATTTTCATCAGGTAAATTATTTCAGTGTAAAATAATGACAATATCAAGTATGCATTGTATTGATTGTTGTAACGATTGTATTGTTTACTCAAATAGCTAATTAAGGAATATCCGGAGATGTTAACACCGGATAATATTTGGATAGTTGGAATCACTCAAGAGCCGTCTACTTGGGAATATTATTTAGTTTTCTACTACGACGTAGATGCAATATTGGATGGATTTATACAACGTTGCAAGTATATAAGCCATGTACGATATACGTATAGCGACTTTGATAAACTCAAAGAGATCGGATCTGGTGGTTACAGAACAGTTTATACTGCCAGATATAAAGGAGAAGAGGATATACCACAAACTGTTGTACTCAAACGGTTTAAGAATTTTGATGAAACGCCGGAATTATTTATCTCCGAGGTAAGCAATAATTGGTAGTATTAATTAACGTGATATTTAATCTGACTCTGTATTTATTTTATTTAATAGTTTAGAAATCATGCCAAGTGCATATGCAACAGTGATCATTTCCTTCGACTTTATGGAGTCACACAAGACCCAGAAACAAAAGAGTACATGATTGTTATGCAATATGCTAACAATGGTAGTCTTTTGTCTTATTTGGATCAAAATATTAACAAATTGACGTGGATGGATAAATTACAGCGTTTGAAGAATATTGCACGGTATTTGAGCAATATTCATGATGTGGGATTAGTGCATTGTGATTTTCATAGTGGAAGCATAGTTTTGAACGACGGTTATTCAATCATATGCGATGTCGGTCTCTCGCGATCAGTGAATTCACGCGAATCAAATTCAACCATTCGAGGCGTTTTACCTTTTATTGCACCGGAAGTTTTCCATACTCGCAAATTTACGACGGAATCAGACATATATTCTTTTGGTATTATTGTGTATTTGATGGCCACTGGTGAACCACCATTTAGAGATAGGCAGTTTGATGGAACTTTAATATGCGATATTATGGGTGGACTACGACCAACGATGCCCGATTCGGCACCAGAAGATTACAAGAAACTTGCCGAGCGGTGTTGTGATGCTGACCCTGATAAGCGATTTAAAAATGGAAGGGCACTTTATTGGGATATTGAAAAGCTTATTAGAGAGATGGAGAACAAATCTGTCAGTAACGCATGGAATACCAGTTATCATAATGATGTAAAACCCTTATCACGTCTCGAACCAACAAACAGTCATGATTTCGATTCAGTTGCAGGTAGTATGAAGACAGGAACTGGTTACACCTTGATATTAACATAAGTCAATATAATATTAACCTCGTCCATTGTCTTATAATTTAGTGACTCAAAATTTTGAATAAAACAGTCTTACACGAGTTTTATTCAAGGGGTTTACCTATCTTCCAATTAAAATATGACGATATGCTTCGACATGAGTTGAGTTAAAAATAAAAATCGGTCAATGTTCGGCTTAAGAAGTTTACCTATTAGTGGGGTAGGCAAGAGATCACCAGAGTGTTTGAGTATGTAAGAAAAATCGAGAATATCGGGAACCAACTAACAATGAGTTTGTTCTATTGGTTCGTTCACATGCTTATCAAGGGAAAAAGAATTATGTGAGCGACTTTCAGTATAGTAACCAATGTTTATGGACAGTTTAGAGTGACGGAAAACGTGTACGCGAACTTCTTGTGTTAATTGGCAGAGGCCCACCAGTTGAGGCTAGCTGTAACTTGTCGAATGCATCAACAATTTCAACGTGCTATTGTCTTCAAGACCGACAATAATAAATCACGAATTGTAATTCGTGTCGCCTGGCAAAGTATAAGTGATTGGGTAATTTGGTTGTTCAGCGTAATTCTCGAGAAAATTCTTTCACGCTTGTAACAACATTTTTATCTATGGTCTTCCATCGCATCGAAGCACTTGTTTCACGTTACCGTGACTATACCATTCGTTGTTAGATGATTTCTGACGTTTTCCAAGTAAGTCTTAACATTAAAGATACGTTTTCTGGCAAAGAGACGTGTGGCGATTTCAGTAATAAAACTTTCTTATATTAGTACGCATTTTCTTAATAAAGATTTTAGAAAAAAAAGAAGATTTAAATGCTAATGTTAAAGCATTTTTTGTTGTTACGCACTCACTACTTGTAGCTCATATCGCTGCTCTATTACTATTCCTAACTAAATCTTCTTAAAGCAACCTCAGATCATATGTCTTATGATAGGGAGACAGACAAATATCGACCCGATTTTCGAGATTGTGATTTTTCGGGGACAAAAACACCTTATTGGGCAATTCCCATAGTTCATTTTAATTGGATCTGATTCTCTACATTGGGTTTGAATATCTAGCACTTATATTGCCTATTGGCGGATGTTATGCCTTATCGGTAGAGCTATTAAAATCTCAACTCTTGAAAAGGGACAAGTTAAAAATGCAAACGAGAGACAGACGGTCAATGAGCTAGCTAGCAAGTACTTTACGAGAATGTAGATTAAAGGGTATGTATGGACAAGAGATTATATATGAGAAAGGATACCATCACGAATGCATCCAGTAATTTCTCTGCTGCTTCTCCGTACTATCATTTCAAAACGTCTCATCATTGTCTTCTCAAACTCTTTTTCCAATATGGTCCTTTTTGCTGCTCGCACAATGTAGTACTAACATACTGATTGGTTAGCAGCCTAACACATCACAAAAGCTAATGAGAATCAAACTTTACATACTAATCGTTCTAGCATGGTGGTTATATTGGAAGTCTTGGATAAGGTATATTTGGTATCTAGCCTTGTTGGTCCTAACAAACATGCAAGACGTTGACTACTACATCTTTTTCGACTCTGTTTAGACTAGACTATGGCTGGGCATATTAGCTGCTTCTACGTTTGCTTATTTTAGAAATGCCCATGTAATATTTGTTATCCTAGGAGCAATAACGACTTCGGTAATAGGTGAGGTCATTTATGTTCTATATAAAATATCTACAGTTCATTCGATCTCTTTAATTCGCTCATTCATCTCGTACACCATTTCAATGTCTAATTTGCTTTATCCTTTGAAACGTCCCGATTATGTGCACACATTCTATCTACCGTCTCAAAGCTCGAATACTAAAGCGCCTAATCCGCCAACCGCGTCCCAAATCCTGCCCAAATCCCCGTAGTACCTATGGCATGCCCTCAAACCATTCAGCCTCAACCATGTACTTTGCAGTCTACATATCTCTCTACCTCGCATCATCCACTCCCACCTTGACAGTTCCTCTCACTCTTTTTATTACCATTCTACTCATCGCGGCATTATCTGTCGTCTGGTCCCGTGTCGAGCTTGGACATCACACCCGCGGACAGGTAATCGCTGGGACGATATTCGGGTGTTTATGTGCAAGACAGTGGCATTCGCTCTGGTGGGAGTATGCATTGCCGTGGTTGGTTGATATAGGATTTGACAAGAGGCTAGGCGTGCACGAAATTGGAACTGTCGTTGGATACGTATGGGATGTGTTTAGAGAGCATGTGGGGGTAAGGTAGAAGAAGTAAGCATGATAACTCTCGCTACGGGGTTACGAGGTTTAGAAGGCAGTAAACTTAATTTATATAATGTCTCAACATAGATAAGTTTAATATGGATATTTGATAGATTTCTGTATTTGAGCCCCATGATTCTTTGTATTTGGGATCTTTTGCAGATTCGTAATTTATTTAAATTCAAACAAAAAACCATCCGTTCGAGTCAGTAAGTTAGGTGAAACGGCTGTTGAATCATGAGCGTTGTGCAATTCCCTTCTGAGTTTACTTACCTATTACTTCAAAAAATTAAATCACATGCCTGTATGTGGCGCAGCAGACCGGCATAATTGACACGTGTCGTTGATATTAATCGCGTCCCAAAGATTTCGTGAAAGTTTACTAAAGTCTGAAATGACAGCTGAAAGCTCACTCCAGCTGGATGCTGGTCTGACGCTCTGTGAAACAGACTGGGCTCCAAACGAGCTATTGGCCCTAGAGGCCATATTTTCTTATATAAGTCACCGGACACATACTTCCGGCCCGAACATTCATTATTAGGAGGATACCAAAAGACAATCTGCAAATCGGCTTTTCAAAACTTTTTCGTAATTAATTTCAGTGGATATTCCCATTGATGCGCGTCGTTTTTGCAGCGGCGTATGGCAGCAAAACACAACATCACAACATTTACAATACAGATAGCCGGAGTTGAGTGTCGCAGATGAGATTCTGGAGGCTTTTGAGAACAATCCAGGCTAACAGAACTATAGTTGGCTAACGGAAAGGCTCGAATCGCCATCCGCTGCTCAGAGAAGAAGACGACAACGAAGACGACTATTATACCGTCGCAGATGAGATCCTGGAGGCGTTTGAAAATGATCCAGGTTAAATTGAACAGTCCAGGCTCAACTCGGAAATTAAGAACTGTATCTACAGCTATCTAGCAAAACGCCTATATCCCATGTGATAACGGGGTATGCCTAATACACTGCCGGATTTTCTTTGATCAATGAGCGATTAATCGAGCATCTTGGGCATTCTCACAATTTACGCGTTTCTCACTATCACCGCCATCTAATACACTAATAATAATGAAGGCGAAGCAATGTCGGGCACGATTTAGTGCGAAGGACGTGGTGGGTTCAAATTGGAGGTGTGGACGATTGAAGAAGCAATTTCACAGGTGTGTCATCTATGTAGCATATTTTCATCACTCATGTTTTTTGATCACAGGCATCATCCGAGTTATCATGGTTAGAAAGTGATGAACCAGTCGACTGTCCTAAATGTTGTAGCGAAGAAGATAGTTCGCAGGAGATCTCATGCTACATCAAACAAGGCCGAAATCAAAATAACGAAATCGACATTACCGGTAATTTACAGTTAGGACATGCACGAAATCGAAATCGAACGAAAAAATCAAGATCGAATGAAATCGACCATGGAAGTGCAGGCGGCACAATTAAAACAGACTGAGAGGCTTATCCAATCAGCACCTTTCTAAACCATATATCAGGCAGGCTCTGAGCATGTCATTACACTAACTCTCCCTGCCTATTACTATTCCCCTTTTTATACATATTGTTTATGTTAAGATAAAGAATGTAATTTAGGATTCCTGTTAATATTAAGTTCAAACATGTATTATGAAAAAGCAGCTTCCACATTAGCTGTGTTTAAAAAGTCAATATTCATGTGCATGAATTTTGTCAACTATGATAATGCCAAACAAGCACTCTTAAAGTTTATGCTGCACGTTTTAATTACCAGGCTTGATGCATCTGAATCAGATTATGCATGTATTCATATGCATGAAACAATGTCTAAATGTCAATAAAAATTCATTGAAACTACACAACCAAACCACACCACCCTGTGACATCTATATGAATGAGTGAATAAATAAATAAACAGGTAAACTCTCGTCAACTCTTTGGATAAAAAGTTCTAGATCTTCTATGTTTAGCTTTTCTTACGACTTGAAATACTTCATATTCATCAACCGAAAAGCATACGTGCGTGGATCTAATAGGCGTTGCATATGAATCATTAATGCAACAACACCTCTTCTCCTGCTTGAAATCATTACCCCACAACCCCAAATCGGCTATTAATATGTCTCCTCCAAATGTCGGCCCTCGAGGCCCGCAAAATATGGCCTTGGTGGGATGCTTTACCCGACTGACAACGTTCTTGTTCTCGTCAGCATTCAACGAGAATATAAAACTACCCTCGGTAGAATCCCATTCGCCAATTGACGGGGACCTCCAATCGATCGGATTATATCCGCCAATCAGCTCATCCGTGCCATTTACTTTTATCAACGTAATGGTCGCTCCTTTCTGGTCACACAAGGTATGAAATACCGATGGTGTAAAGCCATCTCTGCTGCCGCGCAATAGTAACCTGAATCTGTACGGATTACGCGATCCTTCATATGGTAGAGAATGTGTGTCGGATCCGTCATCTTTGGTGCCGCCGCCGTTATTATCGATCTGAGATGCAATCCATGCTGTTGTTCTTTCGTTTATCAGTACTGAATGCACACTGGTCGGATTCATTTGTCCATATCGAGGTGGTAATACCTGATAGCTAGGTTCGTAGCGCGGCCTCAGATAATGACTGATCAATTCACGAAACAGGTGTTTCGGTAAGATGCTCTCGAACGGAAATACTTTGACATCAAAGTCTCTCGGTGATATCTGGAAGAATCTGATGAGCGGAATGCAATTGTGCAATTTCTTCTCCAATTTGGCAAACTCATCAGGTGACCATTTCGTATAGTCAGGTGACAATTGTGTTTGATCTATTCCCCATTCTATTATCCTCGACCATATTTGGCCTTCAGTCAAGGTGAGATCATCTCTCTTTAACAGTGATAGTACTATTTCTTCTTCCAGCGAATAGAATTCTTCCGATTCAAATAATATCTCGGGATCCATTCTGATGATTTGGCAGAATTCTTGCAGTTTGCTGAATTTCTGATTTTGAGACGCAATTTGGTTTGTCACCCCATAGTTTGATTTTAGCCACGCTTCCTTTTCTCTGATGAGTTGGTTTTGAGTGTGATCGAGAAGCATGTCATCCAATGCCAGTTTTTCGGCAGTTATTAGCAGATCGAGTAGTTCGGGTGCTTCTAGTTCATCCAAGGAGATCGATCCAGTATACATGTACCTAACAGTGATTAAAACACCCGTTTACTAGTGAGAAATTGCTTGATCACTATAATACTGGTAATTTGTCACAAGCGGATTTCATTCTTTTTGATCTTTCATGCGTCAGTAATGTTGGTTCTATGACATGTATTGTCCATACCGCTTACCGTAACAAAACTTCAAAAATCGAAGGTGATATATGCTCAAATGAGCTCGAGTGCACCAAAGTTTTCCTAAAGTAGCTACTTCTTGCACGTAGTATAAGTGAATGTACATTGAATACCCTCGCATTCTGTCCTTGTCCGACACTTATCGACATATCGTAATCATCAGCATTCTCTAATAAAGCGCCAAAATCCCTGGCTAGGAAACCGACGAAATCGGACATAAGTACCTTGATATTGGAAGTGGTAAAGTATCAAGAATGCTGCGGACAAATTTTGACTGTGTTACAATTTACGATTGATCATCAACGAGCCTAGCCATATTAATATTCGATTCGCGCGGATAAGGAAAATGAGAGACAATTGCTAATCGACATTAATTATTTACATATTCAAACTATTTGTACATGCAAAAATCAGTAATAAGAAGTACCGTCACACTATCGCTATGATGTTTGACGTACAATTTTATTATAACAATTGTCAGAACTGTTTGTTTACTATTTAGCAATCACATATAACCTGCTTATTTTAAGGAGTGTATATGATGACCCATTTCGCTCGTAAGATATCTAACAAAAAAGATTATTAACAAAATAGTTATCGTCGCCAATTTTCTTGACCAAACAAACAATGCTTATTATACCAGGTATTCTGCTGAAGTTTATTAAAAGTTACATGATATAAAAAAAGACTATGCTCATGTCTACATTTTAAAAATACAACTTTGAGTTCATCAAATCCCCACCTTACTCTGCCATGTCGTGAATCGTTGCCTATTCGCTCCGACTTGCCAGTGGTTGTTCGGATTGATTGATAAAATCTATGTACAGTATATTCTTGTGTACATACGATTTGCGTTGTAAAAAGGTGTCTTTGACCTTATGATAATTTACTCCTTTGGGGTAATGATAGGGCGTTCGACATTGTTTGGAATGGCGGATAATTAAGGACCCCCAGAAGCTTACTTTCTAAATGTTAACCAGGCCAGCTATAGTACATCATTCAGTACACTCAACGTTCGGTAAATCTCTACGTCCTAAATCATAGATCCTGAAATGAGAAAGTTACCATTACTCGAATTCTGTAAAAGTAATGTAGAATGTTGTACATAATCATGTACGCCGGTATAAGAACAGCATGTTATTCCACGCCGCAGGCTATTGTTCTTATTAAACTAAGAACAAATTATACTGTACATCATACGAAGGAACTGAAGAGGGTAAAAACAAATATGTAAGACACCGAAACACCAAAGTACAAACTTTTGTGGCTTGGACGCGTAGAGGCTATATTAATATAGTTTGCATGTGAGCTCTGTTACTTGCAAATACGGTAATAAGGACAATGTGATCTCTAACATTCATCGACCAGTATGTTTATTCTTTCAATCAAGAAACTGCGTATTAGAAGAACAAACGAATGCTTAGAATATTCCCACCATGTATTGTGAACACGTGTTAATGTTTTTAGATCACTTGTATTATTCAAGTTTAGACTAGATTCTTTACACGGCGAGTGACGTCTGTATTATACGTTGTGTGTGTTTGTTCTTTTTTACCCAATTGCTATTACTTAATATATCATTGACAAGTCACTCGAACATCCAACATTCTCATTTATGTCAAGAACAATACTAGTTCATCTGCATCGTGCATAACGAGATATTAGCTGCATAATAATAAATAAATTCATAATGAAGGCGATAAGACAGGCATATAAGGTAGTCCTAAGCATATCGTCCAATAAAGTGCTGATCATCACAAACTGATGTGAATGCATCCAATGCAATCGAATCCACCCCCCTCCTTTTTCCCATTTCTTCCCTTCAATCAAACCCCTATTCACACACATTTTTCAAGCTAAACCCAATCCAATTGCATCCAATGCAGTCAAAAATCAGAAATTGTTACTGCACCAAAAAAGTAATTGATGTCCTTGGAAATGTTGGAAAGACGTGCAATGGCGAGAGTATTTAATAAGCTGGCATTGACGGCTGGGAGCACCAAGCTTCGAACGAAGAAAAAATAGTTCACTTAATTAAGATACAAATCTCATATAATACAAAATCCAGGCATTTAATACACACACTCTCGACTAATACAGACTTCACGTTTTTACCAAACCGCATCTTTTTACGCAGAAATGTCAACTCACCAAATCAAAGTCTCATCAACTGTCGATCTTGTTTCTGACTCCGCACAAAGACGCAAAAGAATCGACTCGGGCTTCTTCGAAGACTTGGATATAATTGCGGAGGCGATTGACAAGTGCACTGATTTTGCCGCCGAGAATGTCGATATCACCGACACATCTTCTACTATCACCCTGGGCGTCTCGTTCGAGTCATATACCGGCTTGTACACGATAACCACCAAATCACACCGCAAAGTCACGTCTGAAACTCAGTGGGGACCACTCGAAGATTACTTTCCCCCAATCTCTTGTCCAAATGCTAGTCCTGCTACTACTCACGATTCCGTTGAACCCAAGTCATGCGACAGTATCATTCTCGATGATCTATCGGGAAAGCTCCCGCCGCTCCAACCTTCCGTGTCGCCTCAACTTGCACAAGATTTGTCTTATGAATATGTCCTCGCACTCGAGGATAGAAGCAAAGTACCATTATGGAGAAGACTTAGGGATAATCCTGAACTGGGAAAGGATTGGACTACTAAACCACTGGAGCTCTTCTTACCATGGGTCCCCAAGAATAAAAATATGGATACAAGTTGCGGAATAAAGAAAGGACTTGGCACTCACGTGAAAAAGAACAAACGATCTCGGACTCTGTTGGAACAAAATCTTAAACCAGCTTCATCTCTGAAACCCAAGCTGTTTGCAGCGACTTCAATCACGCATACAACCAAGATTACGATCGAACAAACGACCAAGCAGCGCACATCAAAGAAACCGGTCGCCCAGATGCAAAAGCCAATCTCAAATACTTCAACTATTTCAACATCTGTCAAGCTATCGGCAAGCAGTAATGTTTCGATACAAAAGAAAGTGCCGCAAAGCCCGAGAGATCGTCCCGAAACAAGAATCAAGAGAACGGTCTTGGAAAAGGCAAAGAATGCTGCAAGGAAATTTGGTGAGAAGAGCATCGGCAAGTATCAGAAGAGCATGGAAAGCAAGAATGCGGGCAGAATGGCCAAGAAGAATTCGAACGTGATGACTGTAGAAAGGAACGCTCTCCGGTAATTGAAACACAGTTTCTGTTGTATGCATCACCACGTAAACGTGTAACTGATAACAAATATCACATATGGTAGTTACCATAAACATTTTCGATCCAATAATCAAAATATTAATAATCGCTGGCAAATTATCGGATAAGCGATTTACATGGTATAATCTAGCATCAATTGAATTGAACCATTTAACCAAGTCGATTTAAATTTAGACTAAAAAGTGTCACAAACGAAGATCAAAGAGGGGAGACCAAATTTTATTGTCAAATATTATTTCATTAGCGTTAGTTACTATACAGCGCGTAACAAAATAAACTTAATTATAGAAATTTATTATATGTTTGTCAAAATTGCGCTAATGTAATAATTAATACATTATTAAAGTCGAAAAGATACTAAATAAATTGTTAAATTTGAAACTCAATTTGTGTGTTTACTGAAATGAAATTTCATTCCTACATCCAAATCTCGCTTAGTTGAGACTGGTAGTTTTATGATTTTGCTAACGTAGGCAATTTTTATTTGCAATATAGTTTATAAAAGTTTATTTCTGTTTATCACTATAATCATTTTGAGCGTAACTCGTGATGAGCTGCTGTTAAATACTTATTCCTTCGGGTTAAACGACTCACTTCTTCAAGTTGGTATTTGCAGATCTTTACGTACGTACTTATACAAAACCAACCGCTTAAATATCCATTTTAGAAAATTTGTATAACAATTTTTTAGCACCGGTTTTATATATCACTATATCGCTATATTAACATCTTTTTAACATACTCTTAACTGCTCAGTATGACGAAAAAATTAAAACAGTTCAGCAAAAAATAAATTAATTAACTGCCGAAGTATTTAAAAAAGAACAGGCGAATAAAAAAGCAGACCAAAAAGCATTAAATAATCTGCTACTCGAGCGATTGCCGCTCAAACTCCGTTTTCCCTCACCTCAAAAGTACCGTAAAACTCCAAGATGTATCCTGTAAGGGGTATGCCGTATTAATCAGGGTACATCTGCTTATCACACAACTGCTGATTGGGAAAAAAGTGTGACACGACGTGAAATAATATTGAAATATTAATATTGTAACCGACTTAACATATGTATGTATTGATCGGATTGTAAAGATAAATTGCATCATTATCATAACATTATGCTAAGCTGTGTGCTTTTAAATCAATACTAACAGAAAAATACAGAATGGGCTATAATAAAAGGGCCAAAAACATTGTTATTATATTAGTACCGGGTACAAATCTCTGAAACTTGGTGAGGATACATCTACATCTCATGGAGTTTTATCGGGGAAGGTACTGTACATGTCGGAGTTTACGGTAAATAATCGGCATGTGAGTCATTCGGAGTGCCACCACAATAATATTACACAAATTTAGTGGAAGTATTACAGTAGACAAACGTTGCTAAAAATAGATGTGTTCAATTACTTTCGATCCTAATAAACGAGTAGTTTTCTATACTCTAAAATACATTATTAATAATTTGTTCCCTGGTGAATTGTTGGTATAGTTGTAAACCCGCCGCTAATCCCTATATTATTTGCATCTTGTCTTGTGGATATTGGCATTACGATTGTTATTATCGCTTATGATGAGAACTTTCGTTTGAGTATAGTATAAGCTTCAGAATTAATCACATCAGAAGGGAATAGAAATTTAACTCGAAGGTGAATAACCGTCTAGAATTTGTGTTTACGCGTCGACACTGAGATCATGATTAATATTCACAACATTGTACAAAGCGTTAGACTATTTATATTGTATTGATAATTAACCACTTACTTATTGGATCCAGTAAGGTACAAATATTCCCTAAATAAATAACTATTAAATAATAAACATTAGTAACAATATTTTTATAACAATATGTATTATTATCAATTACTTACTCCTCACATCTAATCCTATTTTCAATGTGACTTTCAAATGCAGAATGTGCTTTTAGATGACCTATAATAATAATAATAAATATAAAGTAATTAATATTAAATATGCATAATAATATATAAATTCATGCAATCAAGTGTAACCCCTTACTTTTGTGCATATTAATATAGTATACTTTTTCATAGAACGCCTTTGTATCTTGTAATTACGCAGAGTGTTGTTAGTAAAGTCCGCTTAACGAAGAGCTTTGTTCCGCCAAATAACTTCGTTAAAGCAAACGCTATCTCTATATACTATAACGAATTTTCATATAGGATCACGTGAACTTCGTTAAACGAGATTTATTTATTTACTTTTCTATTACTTCTCTACATTTGTTCTACACCATCTTACGTAGTTTCTTTGATTCGGAACAATGCCTGTCTATAGCAATAGCTCGGGGACGTTTTTTGGAAGAAGATTCTCTATCTAACGATGGTGAGCTCACAATCGTTTGCAACCTGAATGGGCGAGGAATATTACATGCATTTAGTGTGTTGCTCAAATCTCCATATTAATATAAACCGCACGTCATGATATTAAACCGCGCTTTGTTATGCGCCAACATTTCGACATTTAATGTTAATTTATGAAAACTTTGTTTAATCGAATGGTATATTTTATTAGTGGGTTTGAAATTTCTTCGTTAGATCGTTATACAGATTATAATTATAAATCTTCGTTCAGCCGGGAGCTAAACATACATGAATGAATCGGTTCCATAAAATAATTCGTTATAAGGCCATCTTCGTTAAACCGGACCTTCGATAAGCGGACTTTACTGTATGATATATAATCCGGAATTTATATACGACATACGCAACACATAAATCAATTTGTGGTATAGACAAGGACATTGATATGCGGATAAAATGGGGGAGGTTTTCGTAACAACTTGAATAGTGTTTGGGCGAAGAGACATAACAATAACGATAATTTAATAATTTAATAATAATGTCACGTACGCGTGATAATGAGGACAACAACATACAATGCAATATCTCGCCCAGCAATATTCGCGTTAATAATATATAGAATGTGTCCTATTAGGATAAAGATATTGCTCATAACCAATTATTTTTATACCAGTTGGAAATGTTTCAATTTTCAAGTTACTTTCCATATTATCTAACTTTTCTTCCGAATATAAACAAACCCAATAAAGATCGGCTATTGACTAAATAGAGCTAAAGTTAGAACAATCGAATACATTTTACACCAAGTCGATGAATAAATAAACCACACTTACACAACCGATAGCAAATTTTATAATAATGTCATCTTCAGACAAAACATTAATCGCGCATGGTAAAATGTATTCAGTATATTTGCCTTCATTATCATGTCGAATGACTGTGTTATATCGTATTACTTCAGTTGATGTTTTTATCGTTATCTACAAAATCAAATGTTCATATTATCACTAAATTAAGCTGTAATCAACAATACTTATCTGATACTTACTACAATTGTGATTATCCCTGACTCTCCCTTATGGTACAACAAAATGCTGAGTTTGTATCTATTTGGAGGTACTCGGAATAGGGGTATTGTTAACTAATATATAATTGACTATTAGCTAATCATAGTGCTATACAACTTTAAACCATTATAGTGATGATTAAACACTTACTTTATTATTCCCATAACAGTGCAAATATCCCAAATCAAAATGACTATTAAATAATACATGTTAGTAATAACATTATTTCAAACAAATGGTTATTATAATTACTTACCTGTTGTATTTATCAGTATCTTCAACATGACTTTCAAATGCAAAATGTGCTTTCAGATGATCTAACAATAACAAATATAAAGTATTTAATATGCATATAATATATAAATTTATACAATCGAATGTGACACTTACTTTTATGCATATGGTAAACTTTTTCAAAAAATGCATTTGTATGCTTATAATTATGCGGAGTATTGTTATATTTTTTATACCAAGGTACAGCAGTATTACACCATCTGGTGTAATCATCTCCATACTTATTACACAGTGACTGCCATTGATTGACATTCTTTAAACCAAACATTGCTTTGTAAGGACAGCTATCTACAAGAATTTTAAACCATTCCACATCAAAATGCTCACATTTCTTTACAAATTTATAATAAATTACACTAAATGCCTTTTCTTGTATAAATGGATGACTAATATGCCCAATATCTTGTTCAGCTTCTTTCTTATTTCCTAATCCTATGTGCTGTTAAACTTAAGTACCAAGCATCATCATAAATATTGTTTACTTCAATTGCTGTCTCAATATCAAACACTGCTTTCCCAAAATTTTTCATATCTAACTTGATCATTGCTCTATTACACAGTGCCATATAATTTGTAGGATCAACTTGTAATATTTGTGTATAAATGTTTAAAGCCATTTTCAACCTCATAATTTTATATGCCATTATAGCTTTTTGAAACAACTTGTCTATATTTGGTGCTGTTAACAATTTCCAAAATGAACTTGAGATAAATGTAGAGACATGCTTTCTTGCTCTGTTTTTTCTTTTTTGTTTTTTTAGATCATCACACTCATCAAATATCTTTGTATCTGTATTGTTTCCAGCACTGGCATTATAAATGATTTGATGATCAGTGTGTGTAATATAATGTCGAACATTATTGTATATTGTTTGTTGTGGCAAATAATATACCTTATCCCTTTTAATTTCACTTCTGCAGTATGGGCACTCTAGGTTGGTTAATGATAAAAGAGCATTTGAACTAATAATATGTTGGCAATTAAGCTGGTAAAAGTCACCAACTGCTTCACAAACAATAGTACAAGTTAGATCTTCTGCAATATAGTCAATTGGGTTTCTCTCAACACATTTCCCTTTCCCTTTCCCTTCATCTTGTTGCTTACTATTCTGAGCACTTGTCATTATTTTGTCAGGTGAGTACTTTGAAATCATTTTTGATTCAACTTCTAATTTCTTTTTCAGATAATAGTATATGCTAACCAAGCTTGGTATATGTTCCTCATCACAGTTAGCAATATCGTCAGGTGTTGTAACAAACAATTCATTATTTTTGGCTTCAAGACTCAACAACACTTCAATTGATTTAAATTGAATAAAATTTGTGACTCCATTATTCAATGAGTCTAATGCTATGTAATAACAAATAGCTTGTGTAGTTGTAGAAAACGTTTTCTGGATAAGCTGCTGGATAATATCTAAAATGCCAAACCAGAGCTCCTCACTAACATTCTGATTCTTTGCTGCATTTTCAGCATAACATAAACTGGTATGATACCAGAGATACTCAAGAAGTATTCTTTCTTTAAAACTCGTTGAGATGTTAGAATCTTTTTCTTGATACCATTTATCAAGACTATCTTGTAGCATCATGAGTTGTCTCCATGTTGCATACCACAGCTTGCCTGATGATTCAACATGAAATGCTTCTGTAAAATACTTCCAGGATCTCTGTATGTCAAAATCACCAAGAGGAACATCAACTCCTGTAAAGAATTTAATCCCAATTTTAGCCAATCCAGGAACAGCAACAAGAAAACCTTTTAATGCTGCAATAGCTCGATCAACATTTGTCTGATACTGGTTTTTATCATTACAAACAGTGTTTAATGTATTCTTAATGAGTTTGATAAGGTATCTAGTATTGTAATTGCACTTGAAGCTTTTGAGAGTTTTATCTGATTCATTAGATCCTGTAAATTTAGGTTTCCAAGTTTCTCCTCCATGCTGCATAATCCTTGAATGTGCCTTCTTGTACATAGAAGTGGCCTGTCTAATACCATCAAGAAAATGGCATGTAAATTGACACTCATTCTGACACATTTGCTCCAGTACAGTTGTAATGATTCGTAATTGCCATTCCAACTTAATGGCTGTTTCTCCTGAAAACATATCATCAAACTCTTGAGAACATAGACACTTCAAAGCTGTATCTAATACATCTATTGACACGGATTCTCCTTTATGTTCGAGAATGTATTTAAGTGCATAAATATTCTCTGAATATTTCAAGCCTATTAACAATTCCTTTATTTGTGCGTCTACTGACATAAACCCTTGCTCCACTAATTGAAGCATTATTTTAGGAAAACTGCCTTGATTTAAAGTATTGCTCAGTGTTGATGTAGAAAACGTCATCAAGGGAGCACTAGTCGCAGTTGCTGTCGGTGACTTATAGCTGGTTGTTGAGCTAGAACTCACCGAGTCAGCCGTAATAGAAAAGCGAATTGAGTTTTCGGTTGCCTACAAAGTAACATGTAAGAATTAATAAATAAATACTAGTGTGTCTCGTATGTGTTGCTTTCCTATACCTCATACGCCATTGTACAGTATAGTCGCTAATGTTTGATTGTCAATCGACATACTTTTCATTTCATGTCCCTGTTTCTGTGCCGATTTTCTCCCTTTCCAAATTTGGGGTTGGATATCTAATTTAGGTAACGGTAATAAAAATTGGGAACAAATGGACACAACATAGATTTATGTCAACTCCTACAGAGCCGTGAAGGGATGAAATATACAGTACTGCCAACCGGCCGACCTAATAGTATACGGCTTGTTGAAGTGGTAGCAGAGACTTATTATTCATGGACATAACGACATAACGATATTTTTCGCTCTCGGAATTTAACTAAATGTGATTGATAGTCAGTTACAGATCATCAGCGCATTTAGTTTCAGGAACTAATTAGGGAAAATTGACGTATTCGAAAGTTGGGAAAAGGACTACTGTATCTTCTTACCGTTAAAGTTCGATGTTATTAACACGGGCATGCAGAAATAGCACTTATACCGATTTTAATCCTCATTATGCCAGAAAAACCCCCTCTGTATGGCACGTATTATATTCTTCTCATTCTCATTCTTAATGGATATGGAAAGCTACGAAGCTATATCTTATCCGCTTTGCTCTATGTTCCTCGAACCGTACATTGTTGATACCTTGTCATTCTTTAGTAACTCTACTCTTCAAACTTCCAGTAATTAATATAATAAAGGGTTAAAATATAACGCGTTGTGTAAAGTGGTCTTTTTGAATAATTGCTCTCTTCAAATGTTTCTAATGTCTTCTTTTTATTTCCGTCAAAATTTTTTCAGTCCGACATTTTTGTGCCAACCGTTACTACATCAAAAATATGTATTTGATTCTAGTATTACGACTTGGTGAAATTAAATATTTCTACGATTGTGCCGACTAATGTTACGTTTGAATTAATAACACAAGTAATTCAATTTAACTAGTGTATCGCAACTCGTACGGGTGTATGGTCTTTATTAGCATCGTATGAACGAACACTCCATAAATGTGTTATCAGTATCGTAACCGAACACGTTATTAAATTATAATCAGATCGGGTAAACATTTATCTCAAAGCATTACAATCACGTAACAATACATTAAAGCATGTGATTAAACGCATATCACACAATTGTAAAGCGCAAATGCTTCACGTTATTATTATACAGTATATTTGCTAAGACTTTTAATGTAAACAAGTATTTGTTATCCCTTCCGTCTCGTGAAATAGTTAATGAAGCTTGCGACAACTAAAGTTAAATTAGAAAGAATCAATATCATTGGATCGACTAGTAACCGAATCGAATGTTTAAGCGTAAATATATTTGTGTCAGATAAAAAAAGGCAAATAGCTTCTCTGAGACGAGCTATATTTTACGATGTAATTATATTCATAATGGAACGTTTAATTAAATGTCTTCAATTACTAGAATTAAGTCGGTCAGTCCCTGTATCGAGACTGACTGTGTGTGTTTTAGGCTATTGTCTGCTAGAAAACCAATCTTCGACTCTAAATTTATAGTCCAAGCTCACGTACTAGTACAGTGTGTTAAGAAAAAAATTGGCCTGTAAAATTTATTTGCACAATCATGCATCATGGAAAGTTTGGAGGAGCATCTTCCAGAAATCAGGAAATAATGTACTTGGAAGTGGATGGAGATTTTAACAGGGTAATGGCCTAATATAAGCTGAGTAGCCAAGGAGTTTTTTTTTAAAAAAAAAAAATCCCTCTGAGGTTATGGATTGGCCTTCTAATAGTTCAGACCTTAATCCTATTGAAAATCTTAATACTGCAGCAATATGTGACAGACAGGCGAAAAAATATTCTGGATAATTTTTGACAAACATTATTTTTGTCAGCAAGTAATAATAATGGTGAACGAATCAATTATTAATATATTACCAGTTAAAGCCTTGCTTTGTAACTTTCGAACAAGCCATCACATGTTAATATTGAAACGCTTTTATGGCAAAAAAAGAGGAGGCCAATTTTTTTCTTAAACACTGTAATTAATAAGAACTCTGTTTTTCTTTTTTTTTTGACGTTCGTTGGATAGTCACCTGAGCACCAGCAATCTGGAGACCAAAGAATTGCTTTCTTCGGTTTCAGTGTCAGGTGATAAAATTAAAGCAATGTCACTAGTACTAGTGAATTGGCGCATTAACCTGCGTACTCGAACTTGTAAAGCGGGAAATAATAAATTTTTATCATTATCTTGAATGAGATCGTAAACCTGAGAATAAAACTAACTGCGTTATTTGAAGAATATGTTTATAATTCCCCCTTCACTCTTCGTTTAAAGTTTGCGGTTTTATTCATGAGACCTATACGGCGGAAAATATGATAAGACAGCGTTGAAAGTAACATCTCTAGTCGAGAAACAATTGCTTGACAAAACTGATTTGTTAATGTTAAAGGGAGATAAGACGTACCAACATTTATTAGATAAGGCGGTAATGTTTTTTCTAGTAAACTAATATCTGGTATTTGAGTGTGTATTCATAGAACTCAAACTTGTAAAACGATCAATCTTCGCTGTCAATTATATCTATCGCGAGGAACTTTTATTCACAACGAGGTGCTCGCTAAAGCCCAGTTTCAGCTGTTTTTATCTATGTCCATTATATCCACAACGCTGTGCTTTGTTCGTGTCACGTGCCTTATGACTACTATGCCAGTTTTGTGAAATGTAAAGCCACAGCCAAGCCTCCTTTATACTAAGCCGTTCATGTAAACATATATAAACCGTATATTTTTCCACTCTAATAAAAATATAATACTGTCTCTTACTGCATCCTCGGAGTGATCTTGCTGCATGACAGATTTCGTCGCGAATTTGACGAAATAGTATTATCGAGGCGCTTATACACAGATTTGCACGTCTGCAATTTGTATAGTCATATGTTGAACAATTAATATTTGTCACGATCACTTATTTGTTTACGGTTTTCTTTAAAAGTTTCTCGCGATAGTTAACGGTTTTCTTATAATTAATTCTGTAAGGGAGTAGCGATAGCCTTCCTAATATACGACCTGCCTATTTGAAAATATCGAGCTGTCGTCATTATCATCAAGTATTGAGGGTGGGAGAGGCATGCCGCCGAGTCAGACTATAAGTGCGTGGATCGAAACGAACCTTTTTCAAGATTTCGCCACCATGCCGAGTGGCAGTGGCAATGTCGATATTCCATTAGGTAAACAAGGACAGAGTTCTGCTATTAGATCCGTCAAAAAACGACGAGACGCATCAGTTCTTGATCCATCTGTGGATGAAAACGTACATTTACAACACGAATCAATGCCTGATGATAACCACTTACCGGCTATAAATAAAATAAGGAATAAGAATTCTCCTCCATTGATGAACTCTAAATTGCCATCAAATACCGATGACGACGGAAAGAAGGATGATGAAACGAGGAGACGTGAGCAGATAGACGACTTGGAAGAACAGACGGCTGCAGCTCAGGTGTTGCAGCTGCTTGGCCTTGGACATGTTCCCGAAGAGAAATCATCAGAATCGATAGAAGACGTGAACAAGAGTGTTTCAGACGTGAGTGACGAGAGTGATACCACGATTGCCACATTGGTTGGGGATGTTGCATCAGGGATGCATTCTACGCGTTCTTTCGCGAGAAGTCAGTCAACCGAGACGCCGAAAAGAGAGTTGGTGGACGGGTGTTGTGTAATTGAACGAATGGAATCGAAGGACAAAAGAGCGGAGGATGGTGAATGCAATATATGGAACGATGTGGCAGTTTTTGGCTGTGACAGTGAAAATGATCAATTGGACAATGGTTTAATGAATAGAGTAGCAGATGGAATTACAACGAGAAATAAAGATGAGAATGGGACAATGATAAGTAGGTATGAAATTGCCAATGGTACTGATTACAAGGACGATGATAATGAGAACAATTTAACTAGGTATGACGGTACTCCTATTAATAATATTAGCAACAGTAGATCGAACGGACGTTGCCAAATGGAGACAGCTGGATTACAGCCAAGTACGGAATCAATGTCACTATTACAGGATGCGAGCGCGATACTTCTTGGTTGGAGTAATATGGACGCAGATGGGCAATACAGAATGGAAACGGACAGACAGTCTATTGCACCAGACGACGCGGCAACAAATTTATCTAGTAAGCAATTCATGAGGACGTGTAAAAGGACAAGAGAAGACAATGAAGTTGTAAATAATGGAACTACTGAGAGATATGATTCTATCAACGGAGAGTCGTTCACCGGAAATATGTTTATGGACGGAGTAGGTCCTGCCACATCAATCTTATTTAATGGAGCGAACGAAGGATATTCCGAGATTCAGTATATTAACGATTCAACGAGCTATTTGATAGCATCGAACTCTGCGCATGGCATGTCGGGAATGCAAAGGTCCCACGAACAAATGGTAGAGTCTGTAAATATATCACCGAGCAGTCCTCGTTTATACAGGCGACGTAGGCAGTTGTCGATGGACAATCCGTCTGAAATGAATGAATGTGAGAACGAGTCTACTGTAATGGCCATAATAAACAGGGATGGCATTGATGTCGTTCACGACATTGACAACTTTAATAACGCTATTGGAGGGAATAAACAGAAAATGCAACATAACGGATATGCGTGTCTGTATCCCGGATGTGGAAAGAGCTTTGCTCGCTTGTACAATCTAAAGTCTCACCAGCGAACTCATACGGATGAACGACCGTTTAGGTGTGATACGTGTAATACAGCATTTTCTCGTAATCACGATCTCAAGAGGCATCAGAAAATACACCAGAATGCAAAGCCTTATCTATGTGTCGGATGTGGGAAATTGTTTTCAAGGTAAGCGAATGTAAGCGGACGCGATTCTCTTATTACTACCCTTTTTTTTTTTTTGACACGATCCTTTTTTGCTCCTTTTTAGGTTAGATGCACTGAAGAGGCATAAGCAGAACCCGAAAATTAAGGATGAATGCCGGAATAGCGCAATAGCAGATGCTTGATAGACATGGATGAACAATGTGTTTCTCACATATAATAGGTGTGTCTCGCTGTGTCTATGTCTCGCTATGGGTTGCAGGGTCGCTACATATGGACGAAATGGGTTAATATAACATTGGAGTTACGTGAAAAGCGTTACAAAAACGTCGCCGTCAGCATGAAGTCTTAAGAGATTTGTTTTCTTGCCGACATGTTTTTTTAATTATTCAAATACAAGAGTTAATGAAGATCCAGCTATTCGTTAAGAATTTGGATTAGTCATTGGTTTACTGTCGTATCATCGATCAAGTAAAAGCTCGCATGTTACGTTGAATTCTTTCCTAAACACATTGCTATATTGTGAACAAGATTCATAAACTTGCGGTATTCACAGTACCAAGAACCGAATTCAGTTTCTTTGCTATATACACACAATCAAAAGATCCGTTTTCCATCGAATGTCTCCATCAGTAAAAGCTTGCTTTTTGCTCCGAAAGAATTTCTCGGATTGTAACATCATTGAATATCTATTTTATCATTTTTGCTGGAGTCGGTGTAATAATTGTCGCGGCTGATGCTGAAATCCACGGGATAATTTTTATTTTTAGACTTGTCTAAGAACGATATCTGTCGATGCTAATAGATAGATCAAAATAGGTTCATTTTCACTTTGAATTATTTTGCGGCTTCAGAAATCTCATGTGTTATGACTTGAAAGCTTCAAGCAGTGCTTGATAAATCATATAATTGGAAGCAAAACTTGACTGTTTTCAGATATTCGCCGTGACGAGCTTATTTGGCGAGTTACCGTAATACGAAAACTTTAATCGTATACTGTATATTTAACGTTAGACTATATTCACTGCCGCAGTAGTCAGGTGATATGTCAAGAAGTAGTTGCATGTAAATATAATAGTGAATTTTTTTTATTTAGCAGTACACTGAACTATAATATTATATTAATCTCAACTTTACGTTTTTATTGTATCCCCGAAAAATTCACACATCAACGTAAACATCTAATTCAATCACTAATTATCAGATGGTAAAGCGCCGATTGCTTTCTTTCCTGTTTCATTATGCAATTGCTTTGGGAGAAGTTGTGCAGTTCTGAATTTTTTCTCAAAGTCATGTAGAATTGGTCCGTTCCCATTTTGGCCTCTCTTATTGGGGCTGCAAAATCATGCAATGGGATCAGAACGGACCAAAAAGTTTACAAGGTCCTTCGCGCCAATCTCCAAAACTCGCATGTTGTCAGGTATGTCTGAGAAAACTGAAAAGGATGACTTCTTCTCTGTATATGCATTTAACTTGAAAATTATGTACAGAGTTCAGTAACACGCGGAAATTTGTCCTCAACTCTTTAATTGGCTGCCTAAGATTTTTGTGCTCGAATGTAATTAAGGGGGGCTCTACCAAATTTCGCTACCAAATTCGCGGAGTATCAACATGCATAACGCACTATCTCAACGTGGTAAACCGAATGATTTTTTTAAGGCGTTCCACAACCTGAGGTCGAGGAATAAACTCACCATCAATTTCAAGTCGACACGAGTCTCGTTGAGAATACGTTCGTTAAATACCCGGCGTAAAGAAAATCAAGTAATATGAGACCGATAAAAACAAGGTTTGCCACAATAGTAGCCTATGAATAGCAAAATGTATTAGAAACTCAAACTGCAAACGCAACAAATAACAATATAATCATACCGTTAGCAATTTTGGTAAAAGGAAAATTGCTTCTTTGGAAGCATTGGGAAGCGGATGAAGCTGTAGAGTTGGTGTAAGATCTCTTTTGTTGATGTCAGCTGCAAATGTTGCGGTTGCATTCGTGCCAGTTGATTGGTAAAGTTTGCTATTAATTTTAATATTTAGTTGGCAGAAGTCTTCTCGTTCTGACAAGCTCAACGGTTGGGCAAAATAATTAATGCGATTAGTTATGTCATCTTACAAAGTGCTGAACTATTCTACAAGAAGACATTAGTAAAAAAGAAAGACTGGTAAGTCGGATAAAAAGCCATTTTCTTATTATAATTGTAAATAAATTACATAATTTATCAGTAACTCGGTTTTGTAAACCATATTAAGTAAACAGATAATGGTAATCGGTGAATTAGACATTTGAAGTCACATACCGAGTCTTGACAATAAATCTATAATATGGTGTGCTACCGCACAAACACGAGATTTGATAATCTCTTGGAATGTATTTATGCTGAAATTACTCAAGTTACAGCACCGAAAGTTATTTTAACAACACTGTTTGTACATAGTTTATGCATAAAAATTTACCACATGTTGATAATATTGTTAGCCGAGTTGGAGCGATTGTTTGATCCGAATTAGCCAGTTTATTTTGTATCCGCTTTCAATTCACTAATAAATTAAAAAGAGAAATCAAACGTCTTGCTAATGCAATATCTTGTGTTGATAAGCGTACTTGGGGTCTTTAATTTCGACAGTGATCATATGGAAGCAAATAAGCATAATGCAAGTATTAAATTTTTATTTGTGCTTCCTTTCCTGCTTCCTTATCGTCAACCCCAAAAGCCATCCAAAAAGGCAATTGCATCAATAAGAGTGGAAATATGTAGCATATTTAGATTTGCACCGAGCGACCAAAAAGTGATTAAAGTGGATAAGTGGAGGCAATTATATAGTATAGTTAGTTCAACAAACAATAGGACAAAAATTTAGTCCATCAGAAACAAATACGGAAAGTCACCTACCATCCTGGTTTTCTTTAATTTAACGGCGATTGCTTTTTCTGGGGGTGGGGAGATCATTTGTGCTTGTGACACAGTCGCAAACGTGTTGCAAAAAATTGACATTCACGCGCATCTTAGTACGGGTAATGTTGTACACGATCCGCAAATTTTTAACTTTGCGCATTTTCGTACGTTTCGGTACCCAACGATTTTTTGCACACGAATATTAGCAACACAAACAATGAGCGCAACGGCGTTTGTTTACGTTTTTGGGACATTTCTCTTATCTCATATTAATTTGGAGACAAAGGGAAATTTTGCGAGTAGATGGAGAATTTGAATGTAGCACAATTATGGCGTCTGACAGTTTAACCCTGAAGTCCGATGCACTATATTTTGGGAGAGTTTTTCCTGTAGCACATGCCAAATAATAATGCCCTATTATCTACACGTGACGTGCGGCGTAACAGTTGCACGAGACTTCAACATTCTATTTGTATGGCCCTAGCTAAACTATGTGAGCTCTTCTATAACTAAATGGACCGACTGCCTGAATCTGTAACAGACTGGGACGTTAACCAAGTCATAGCTTGGTTGACGTCCATGGGCTATTCTGCATACGAATTGCAGATTAAACGTAAGTAAAACTACTGCGGAAAGAGAATAAACCATGCATTGAAAGTAAGGATAACGCTGACTATTACTAGGGGAGGGAATCAATGGAGAGATCCTCGCTCACTTGGACCACACCGCTCTGAAGGAGTTGGGTATTCATTCGGTAGGACACCGAGTCTCCCTTTTGAAGGCAATCTACAATCTCAAAATAGAACATAACATACCCCTCGACTCTTGGGATTATGTCCCTCCTTGTAAGTGTGGTGATTGATTGAACAAGTAATTTCAATTAGACGTTTCCCACCTACGTCTGTCTTGTTATATTGGACTCTGTCTAACCTCCCACAACTTGCATCTCTGAATACCTGCCAAATAGCTGCAGAGTTTGAGAATGTATGTATTGAATGTGTTTGAATGTAATTTGACGTCTCCCCCGGATAACACATTGGCTAATTCTTCACCTACTCGGTGCGTTTTTAGGAATTAAGCATTCCCAACGGAACGGGGAAAATAGAACTTCAAGATAAAGGTAATTAATGTACACGATAATTATGGGTATGACAAAAATCCCAATATCTGACCCACTCTGCGAACCCGAATTGGAAAAAAAAATTAGAGTTCTCTACGAATCATAAATCAAAAAGGAAAATCTCTCCAACAACTCTTTCTGATTAGAGACAAATTTAAACTTTTTTCTTGAATTAAACAGTTATACAGTTGTCAAAAGAAGTGATGCGCCTATCACACGAATTATCGAAATTACGAGACGAATTAGTACCAGTATGGAAAATGGTTAAAGAAAACAAGGTAACTCGGGAAAGAATAAACATTGATAAATGCGTACACTGGAAACGAGCCCGAGTAATTCTGTATATTGGCCTTGGGGACTTTATGAATCATCCTTTTTAATTCAACTGTTCAAGAAATACAACTTAATATTTATATCTCCACAGACATATACCATTTCGCGAGCTCTTCTAAGTCATGTAATCCGCTTAAGTATTAACGGATCCGCCTTAATATACTTCATAATTCCATCTTTAATACCAGCCACTACCGGAACCTGAACTAATCAAACAAAATTACAAATCCTCCTCTTCCGCGAACAAGGGTCTCCATGTACAGTTACCTTCCGTCAACGTCACTCACCACGGCTCTTCAAGGTCACCCACACATACAAGCGATACTCCACGGTCACCCCGTGTCAGCAATCGCAGCAATCGACATCAAACGAACAATGAGAGTAGTACAGATGCAAGTCGTAAAGAGAAAAGACGAAGGGAGGGTGAAAGAGAAAGAGAAAGAGAAAGAGAAAGAGAAAGAGAAAGACAGGAAAATAGTGACGTATGTGATTAGCCTATTGCTTGCTCGTTGTTGTTGTTTGTTGTCTGTTTGTTTGTTTGGTGCCTGATAATGGAGAACTCTTATTAGTCGTGTGAGGACAACTATTAAATCTGTTTCTCTTCTCTTTTAGAAATCCAACTATTTATCACCTCAAAAGATACAAAAAGATGGGTCAATAAGACTTAATGTTCACAATAATCGTACCGGAGAACTATTGGAGGCATTCCGTGTCTCACATGATGATCCATGTCATAAAGTCTTGCCCGACGCTCTCAAAAGATATAAAATCAATGGTGACTGGCGCGACTATGCTTTATTTATCTGTTATGATGGTCAAGGTATGTAATCGTGATTCCCACGTTTATTTTTGTAATTTTTTTTTTGTCATTAAATAGAGTCTCATCCTATAAATTCAATTCTTAGAGCGATGTTTAAGTTATGACGAAAAACCTCTCGTATTATTCCAAAAGTTGAAAGAAGCCGGTCGAAATCCGTGTTTTGCTCTGAAGAACATTAACGAATTACAATGCCCTGTAGCAACAGTTGAACAAAGTTTCAGTTCCGTGAAGGCAAATAAATCCAAACGACGTACAACTTTACTAAACAAAGAACTTCCCCCCGCACCACATGAACTCGAACAACAAAATTCATCAGCGCAGACGTATGACAATAATGAACATGACGATGTTGAGCATGTAGAGGGTAACGGTGCTGCCATGGTAGTATTCCCTTACGTACCAGAGAATGCCGACGAAGTGAACGTGATTGTTGGAGACGTTGTAACTATCAGGGCCAAATCAGAAGGATGGTGTTATGTAGAGAAAGGCGGCCAAGCAGGATGGGTACCCGCCAACTGCGTCTTCGAGACTAGTATCAATGGAGGTGACATGATGGACAGAGATAGCCCATACGTTGGCAGAGGAGTTGCTGTGGTTGATTATGTTGGCCACGGTGAAAACGAATTATCTATGAAAGAGGGCGATAAACTTAGAATCTATAAGAAGAGTAATCACTGGTTATACTGTGAAATAAATGATGAGCGAGGATGGGTACCGAGTTGGTACGTTAGAATCGACAGGGAAGTCATCGACGAACGGAATACACAGGTTTCTGATACTCATGCCAACTTCATCTAGAGAATAAAAATATATATATATATCAGAATGAGGGGTTAATTATTTTCTTAGCATGATTAACAATTCACATAAGACTATTTTTCTTTGGTTTGTTCTCTGGCTTCTTTTTTTTTTTTTGAGCATGTAGAGAGATTAGCAATGTAGTATGATCTAATAGTAAGCAGGCCTTACATTATTATGTTAATGGCACGCATATACGAGCCGGAGCATTTAGGGAGTTTTTTTCTTTTGGAATTGTCATTAAGTGTAGAATATCATACATTCAAATTCCGTCACTTTTTTTTTTATACCCTTTCGATATTTTTGACTATTTTCCCAAATCATGAACCTAATTCTTCTTGTATAGCTTATAAATAATATGTAAAATAAACAGCCTTCTCTAATACATGCACTTTTTTTAGACATCAAAATTATTCTAGTATGCGACTTTTGTATAGATCACGAGACTTAAAAAGTGATATCTCGTAGCAATCACAAAGTTTGAAGTTTCACACACAATGATATCACGTTCTCTACGCGGTTTGCAGCTGCGAGGGTACAACTCTTATAATACCTTATCATAGCGGAATGACACTGAGTCCTTACGATTTGAAGAGTAACTACGGAGATGTCACTCCAATCGACCAGGACGACGGACCCTCTCCGATCGCTCCTATAGCCTACTCGACTGAATGTAAGAAGCAAGCCTAATTGTTAAAAAAAGTGATACTCTTACTGACTGCTGCACACACATATATAGACTCGACGGCTATGGCATACTTTCGTGCACTGGTTCGAAATAACGAAAAGAGTAAACGTGCACTGGATTTAACGAGTGATATTATTAAGCATAACCCTGCACATTACACAGTATGGTAAGCAAAACCGTTAGATCAGGGCGTTTTCACTTTAATAGCTATCGATTAGCAACTTTGATCACCATGTTGGTCTAAGCATTTCTGTTCAAATATACGCCATTTCTTCTCAGGAATTACCGACAGCAGATTCTTTTTACATTGGACGAGAATTTGACAAAAGAGCTCGAATTTGTCAAAGGGCTAGCGAGGGATAACCCCAAAAATTATCAACTATGGTACATGGATCGAGAATGTGATTTTTTGGCATTCGTATTTAATAGTCTCTAATCCGTATACATATATATATTAGGCACCATCGTCAAGTGATTGTTGAAAAGCTTTCAGATAGTTCAAAGGAATTAGAATTTATAAACGAAGTGTTAGACGACGATGCGAAAAATTATCATGCCTGGTCCTACAGGTCAAATACTCGCGGTTGCTAAATATGACTTGATACTTTTCAGCAAGAATTTCTCCATTCTCTTTTTCATCAATGTTAACCTCTCCGGTGTTTATAGGCAATGGATCAATACTCATTTCAACCTTTGGGACGATGAATTACCCTTCATTGATACATTGCTGAAGGACGACGTTCGCAATAATTCGGCGTGGAATCATCGACATTTTGTTGTATTTCACGATCTGGATGCCATCGACGAAAGTCTTATTCAATCTGAAATCAAGTAAGAATATGCGTTTCTCGGATTTATAAACCCGATCTCGTTTCTTTCATCCCTAACCAACATCTGTTGCCTTATTTTTTCATTGCTTTGACAATAAACTCCAAGCCAAGAATATATGCTAATCTATATCTTTTTTCTCTTTCATCAGTTATACCAAGGAGAAAATAAGACAAACTCCAAATAATATTAGCCCGTGGAACTATCTGAGAGGGTAGACACATGTTTTCTAAATATCTGAATAATGTGATCTCTATCACAAAGACTATATATACTAATCGTTTCCCCTTTCATCATCAGTGTCCTGGAGAAATCGTCTCGCGATATACAGGAACTCGAATCTTTTTGTAAAGAATTCACTGACAACGATATCAACTCTATGGGCTGGCTTGTTGATATTTACGAGAATCGCGCAAAGAATGGTGATGACCAAGCAAAAGAGGATGCTATTAAGGTACTTTATGAAATGAGACAGGCCAAAGACATTTTGATTGCAACAATTTACCATTCGTCTAATTCTCGCGGTTTTTTCAGATCTGTGAAAGCCTAGCAAACAAATATGATACGATAAGAAAGGCGTACTGGGAATATCGTAAAGATGAAATCGCTGCTCCATCATCTTAAAGCATGCCATTCTGTACAGAGACAATGTTCAACTTGTGTATTTATAATTGGCGTTAGGGTTGGAAACGGTTTATACAAATAAACTTTTACAGGCTATTTATAGTCTTTCAAGGCTTCTCACTCAACTTATATCCTCAAATATCTGTTTGAAAGCCAACATGTTCACGCAACGAGATTCGTATTCACACTGTCCCACATTTTATATTGTTGCTTCACCTGAAATCACATGTAGGGATCCTCACATAATTACAGCTGTTAATGGTCGTTATGGTTTTAGTCGGTTTATTTCTCTAATTCATCTGTTGTCCAAAATCGTTAATGGCAATTACAGAACAAATTGAACAAATGTTCGCACTTGACAAATTTTTTGTATTCTTACCTCATTCTCCATCCGCATATTGCTTTACAAACCATAGCTTGGCGATCCTCTCACTCAAGACCGGTCCTATTTTTTTACTTCCAAATGTACCTCCACATACTTCGTTGACTATTTTCCATCTTGCCTCGTTATTATGACATTTTTCTAGAGCAGTGTAGAACGAATGCGGTGTTGGATATTGCTTAATAACCTCTGCCGCCTTATCTGCAGAGATACCTTTGGTACACATCAACATTTTTGCAAACATGTCACGAAGAGTGAGATTGCGAGACTTGGAGTTTAGTTCATTGTAAGCAAGAAAGCTTATATGATAAGTGCGGGCCGGGTAAAGTTCTTTGAGATGAGCTTTAAGAGGAAGGTAGGTTTGATATTGTAAACAGGTATCGGGTATGATGTACAAAGGAACCGACTATCATGAAAGAAGCATGCATCATGAGAAAAGTATTCAATACAGAGTCCGATAAATAATCGTTGATAAGCATCATACCTCGTATAGTTTTTTGAGCATTTTTGTTAGAGAGACCAAGTATTCAATAGTTTGGTCGATATTAGTAGTAAATTTCAGAAAGAAGCCATCGACTACTTGAGTTGATGATATTGCCGTCTGAATAGCTTGCATCCCAAATTCGACAGCATCTTCCCTGCCAAACTCCTCAACTAAATAAATTACTTGACCGACACCGCCTCTGTTCAATCGAAACTAGTACTAGTGTTTAGTATTTGCCTCAACTCGACTCACTTTACCAGATGACCATCTCCCGACACTTACTTTTTGCTCTTTGAATCTTCCATCCTTGATACTGCTCACTAAATCATCCATCCTCTTACGTTCAAGAATGTAGTCCAGCACGATATCACCAGAATTACTGTCTTTCTGTCTTGCAACCCAAACAACATCACCAAGTTCCAAACTACGCACACTTGTAGTCATGCCACGTTCTTCCAACTTTTCTTGTATGTAAGTACGATCTTGTCGATGTCGTATTTCACGCGTATCTAGTATGAGATGCACTTCAAATGTCCCTGGTTGCCAGATTATAGGATCAACAGTGGGGAGTGATAGGGCTGCTTTTGGTTTGAATGTCCCTGGTTGCCAGATCATAGGATCAACAGTGGGAGGTGATATGTCTGTAGTTGTTTTCAATGTCCCTGATTGCCAGATCATAGGATCAGCAGTGGGGGGTGATATAACTGCCGTTGTCTTCGTGCTTAAACTTGATTTGTAGCTAAGCAACGGTGCAGGGCCGGCCAAGCTATTAAGAGATCCGCAGTCAGCATGGGTTGCCGAAGACTCCCAAAGTGACGACACGGCTTTAGGAGGAGGCACAGCTTTAATCGGAGACGCAGCTAAGCTTCCCGCACCTCGATCGAAGCTATTAACCACTGACACTTCCTGACTGATGTCATTTGCCTCTGAATTCATACCTAAAGAAACCCGAACTGTTGTGACTACAAGTTCTTTTTCTGCGAGAGGACCCAACTCTTTCCCTTGTTTCTTGGCAGTCTCCACAAGTTGAGATGCGACAACTAGCCCAGCTTCTGTCAACTTGTATCGTGCGGGGCTCCCATTTTTGTAGACAAGGTCTTTCTCAAGCAAGGTCTTCATTCCATTCCAAGCAGTGTAATTACGTGTTTTGGCGACCGGAACATCAAAAGACGTGTCACAAAATTGAGCTGCATCTCTAATTATTTCTAGTTTTGTTAGACTCGCGCGATAAGGCCCATTACCGTATGCCATGAAAAGCGTAAGGAGAATAGCGTACGCTCCTGATCGATATTGAGGAACGTATGCTCGTTTCGCTGGTGTGGTAGGAGGTGGTAGTGGTGGCGGTGGCGAGCTCGGTGGGGGCGGAGGTGGGGGACGAGCAGCACGTTTTAAGATGTCTGATGATAAGATCGTATAACGAAAATTGTTTATCAGTATATTGAAATGGATCATAGAAAGTACTCGATGAATTCGGTACGTACCAGAGCGTATTGGAACCGCTTGCCCGGTATCAGCACAATACTGTCTTAGCCGCTCTTCGAGGCGTTTGGTTATCTTGGGACCGACACCCTTCAGTATCATAGCTTCGCAGGGGTGATTGAAGGGTATCGGATACTTTGACATTGAATCATAGGCCTAGTAATAAAGCGAATATTTTTGCAGGTGAGTTTTTGACTCAATTATTGCGAGTTTGGTGGAACTAACCTTTTTATAAGCATAGTACATTTTATTATTAGATACTCCTCCGGCCTCTTCCATCATTTCCTTTATCCATTGTAAATACAACGGGTTACCGCAGATAGGAGACGCCTTCCTTGGCATTTTCGTCGAGAGATTGGTAAACGTGTAAATATTTGTACTACGATAAATTTTTATTTAAAAAGCTGATACAACAGGGGTTAAAAACTAGAATACATGGGGAGCACACGCCAATAAATTTTTAAATGGTCAATTTTTTTTATTGCAATCGAAAATCAGACCAAGTGATCATAATATTGGGCTTAAGACGATAGTTATATTATGCATCATCATGACACCCACTAATAAGCCTTTCATCGACAAGGTCACTCTATAAGCTCTCTTCATTCTGCATAGTAACTATTCCTTTGACTTAATATAAAGCCTTATTGACATCGCGATTGTACAAAACTTTTTGTCTTCTTGGAGACAGCCCCGACGAACATATTATAACGCGTATGGAAGTATAGATAATCGGGTTTAAAGTGGTCTGTTCCAGCACTCACTATATCCAGGCTTCCTCTTTATAAGGAAATCTCCTTGTAGCTTCGTTATAAACAGATCAATCACGTATTACCCGCCAATTTCAATATACTAATACGGTAATGATAATGAATTTTAGACTAAAGCAAATTTAATTTATTGAAGACGTTGAAGTCACTTTGTCGCTGACTGCATGTTACACATATATATAATCAGCTTTGTTATTATTATGATACGTTTTGTAAATTTATCACTATTTTATTTGAAAACTACAGTCAATTAGCTTCATAACAATGCAAAAATTCTGGTTGTTTGCTTAGTAAATAACACCAATACTGCAATACAGCAGTTCGAAAAATTAGATTTCTCATATTAATATGTTTTACTATACATGGTCGACAAAAATTTCATTCATTTTTGCCAGGTGGGTGTATATCCAGGTTCACTGCATACGTATTCGTTTTTCATCAAAACGCTTGTAGTTAATCATTTTTACACCAGTTGAAAATGTTTCAAATTTCAAGTCACGTTCCATAGCATCTAACTTTTCTTCTGAATATAAACAAATCCAATAAAGGTATATGAATGACTTAAGATAAAGTTAAAGTTAGAATAATAACACTTGAATACATTTTACACTATGTCAATGAATAAATAAACCATACTTACTGTTACACAACTGATAGCAATTTCTATAATAATGTCATCTTTAGACAAAACGTTAACCGTGCATGGTAAAATGTATTCAGCATCACAATAGTTAATGTACATGCTATATTGGATTTCTTCAGTTGACGTTTTTATTGTTGTCTACAAAACCAAATGTTTATGCTCATTATACGATTAAGATTAAACAATACATATTTCGATACTTACTACAATTGTAATTGTTGACCACATCCAATTTTGCAATAAAATGCTGAGTTTGTATTTATTTGGAGGTACTTGGAATATGGGTATTGTTAACTAATATACAATTGTTTATTAATTAATATTCACAACATTGTACAAAGTGTTAGACTATTTATATTGTATTGATAATTAATCACTTACTTTATTGGATCCGGTAAGGCACAAATAATACCTGCCACTATTAAGTAATAAACATTAGTAACAATATTTTTATAACAATATGTATCATTATTAATTACTTACTCCCCGCATCCACTCCTATCTTCAATATGACTTTCAAATGCAAAATGTGCTTTCAGATGATCTGTAATAATAACTTGTATGCATTAGACAATAATATGCCTCTTCAATACGCACTAGAGATAAGGATAAGCATTAACTCTCATTCACTAACATCATCGATATTTGTCTTCTTCATGTTGGATAAGAAGGTTATTAAATTTTTGCCACAAAGGACTCGCCCCGTTTTGATGCAAATAATATTATTAACGCAAACATCTTTAACTCTTGTTCGAAGATCGAACAGTATCGCTCACATTATTAAACATAAGTTTTTAAGCAAACTGTGTCGCTCCGTTGTATTTTTGTTAGTGAGTAACATCTGTTCCCAGCGAAACGTATATTCTTCCTCACTCTTTTTTTTACGAGAGGTTTAAAGAGGGTTCAGAGGTTGCATTTATTATCTTTTCGTTCGAACGAATAATGGATCGTTATCGCTTGCAATAAGCTAACAAAGTTTTATGACAAAAAGTCTAACGATGTTTCGTTATGCATTAAATCCGTATATCAATACCGATTTTCAGGATGCGGAGTACGTGTAATTCATGTTTATTTACTATTAGAGACGGTTGGATTTCATTTCATCAGTAATTAGATATTTATGAGTTAGTTATACTATTTTTTCAAATATGAGTTCTTCGAGCATGAAGCTTTCAAGTTTTTTAAGTTTTTTTAGCTTGGCTTAGTTTTCAGCTTGGAACTTTTATAACTAGTTTCAAACTACCGCCAATGCTAGTTCATCATCTTGTGATAATATATCGCAGACACTTGATTAATTTGCCGTTTATTGTCGCGTCGATAATTATGAATAAAATTAATTAGTGATAAAAAATTTTTTTTGCAGACTGAAATATGTTGAAGTTCTGATTCTGAAGGTAAACCGTCTCGAATGGTTGACTCACATGAATTCACCGATTTTGAGAGACATAAGTATACTAATTGAGCATTAATAATTAAGATTCATGACATAACATTGTCCGTTTTTTCTACTTGGTTTTTTTACAACAACCTCAGCCATCAGTACATGCACCTTTACAATTGCATCTTAGTTGACTACCTAATGCAGTTCTAACTAAGCTTTGGCCTCTTGTCACCTCTCCTACACTTATTATTCATTGAGGTATTTCACCTATTCACTAAATTTAATTCATTGACATTCAGAATTCCGGAAGCGCGCCCCAGTCGATATTTTTTATTGATTTTTCGATTATCCTACAAGGAAGTAACAATCAGGTGGTTCTTCTATTGTGCAGGATGCATAAAGTGTGTTTACTGTTTATCCATTTTAGCATCTGAATCACCAATGATGCAACAGCCCCACTGATTTATTCTAAAGACGGATGTATCATGTGAATTAACAGATCTGCCACAGATATCAAAAAATTTTGGTTTTGTGATAAACAGAAATGATAGGATAGTATGTCCTGTTCACAGTTGAATGGACCATATAGGTTTCACTTATTCATGAGATGTTTGGTTGTGGCTTTAATGCAACATGTAACAATTGTCTGCATTATCTTTATTTATTACATAATGGTGAACTGCATATTAATATATCATATGATTTTAGAACTAGTGGGGGGGGCAGCTATTTTTCATATTAATATGGGGCCAGTGGGCCCTTATTCATGAGTTTATGGTAGCACACAAACAGCAAGTTTAAAATTTACTACTAACCAATAATAAAATTTTGCAGAACATTAACTATAACTAGTTTCAGCTGGCAAAAGTGTAAGCAATTAAGTAATGCAATTGACATGTATTTCAGCATAGTTTTTGAGAAAATTCTTCACAATGGTAGGAGCAACAGTTATATCAATGGTTATTTTGGTTTTCCATTGTGGCACCTTTTTTACATTACCATGAACACACTATTAGTTGCCAGATGATTTCAAAGTGCATGTGACCAATTCCTAACATGTTGAGATACATTTTCTGACAAAGAGGTGTATTGTGATTTCAATAATAAAAAGATTTCTATTAGTATGCAGTTTCTTTTTAAGATGTCAGCTGTAGTATTTCTTGCCATTCATTGCTTTCAGCTGGGCCATTTAAAGATATTAATATACATGGTCTGGCACAAAAAAGTTGATACACCAATATGCTTATAGTAGAAAATTTTTTTTTTTGAAATTCATTCACATACTTAAATAAATTGACTTATAAATTGGGTTTTGAGGAATGTATCAGTAGAAATTTATTAAAACATGTACACAGACAAAAAAGTTTTACTAGTCATCAAT